GCTCTGGGCTGGGGACAAGGTGGGCATCGGGCACAGCTGGCACTCCGTGGGCTGGGAGGGTTTTTCCAGCCTCAGGGATTTTGGGATTTGCCCATGGAGGGAGCAGTGTGGGACACACGGACAGACCCTCGGGGATGCTCCAGCCTGGGGGGACACAACATACGATGCCTGCGACAACAAGCGCTGTCAGGAGCGTGTCTGCAGCACAAATATCAGGCCTTGATGCCATTCCCCACATCAGACYATCACCAGGCACCGCCCAGGCTATCGCCGAGGTCTATTCAGCGAACGGGAGCGCCGCTGAAGGCGTGTTTTGGAGCTCCATGCGTGGTTCAGGGGGTGCCACACAGCCTCGGCCCCACACAGCGCCGTAAAGCGCTCCCGGGAACCGTGGACCTTTCCAGGAATCCCCGGGAGTCAGTGCAGCAGGAGCAGTTGGGCAGCAGCCCAGATCCTTCCCCTCACCCGGCCGAGCACGGGGCAGCTCGGCCCCGCTCCGCATCAGGGAACCGCTCCCTTGTCACCACAGGGCCGCGCCGAGGGGCAGCAGGGGGAACACGAGGGGGAACACGAGGGGGAACATGACACCCCACACGCCGCCGCCTTCCAACTGTACCTCTGAGCGGGGAGGCCCCGCGGGCTCCGCTGTGGCGCCTCATCGCTTCTTATCCGTACCCATCGCTCTTTATGAATGCCCACCGATCCCAGAGACACGGCCCTCGCCGGCGCCGAGGGGGAAATGGCGGCGGGCACGGGGCGGGAACGGCGTGAGGGTGGCCCCGCCCCTCGCACACAAACCACGCCCCCAAAGCGGCTGCCAATGCTCCCACTACGACAGGCCCCGCCCCCTCACACATACGCCACGCCCCCATCGCCGAGGACACGCCCTTGGCCATCGAAGCCCCGCCCTTTCCCGACAGGCCCCGCCCACCGCCGCCATGGCGGGGGTTTCCGGTCGGGGCTCGGGCCCGGCGCCGCTTCTTCCCCACACTCGAGGAAAGGCGTTTTCTGCCTTTATTTCGNTGTGTGTGTCCCTGCACAAATCCCATGTTGAGCTATCCCTGGGTCGTTGGTCACTCTCTGAGGGGTGTCTGGATGAACCTGCCTGGATGAGAAGCAGTTCCTGCCATGGGAAAGGTGCCCTGCAGAGCTGCCCTGGGGAAGGAGGGCAGGAGACTTGAGAGGAAGCAGCAGAAATGCTGAATTTCCTGTTCACTGCAGCCTCTCTGTTTCTCAATTGCTCTTGCTGCAAAACAAAGTTACCCCAAACAAACTGRAGAGTTCACTGCAGTTCCCCATAACTGTGAATCAAATTTGATTTAAAATCGAGAAATCATTTCATTTCTAGGATGGGAGAGACCTTAAACTCATCTYATTCCATCCCCAGCYGCAGGCAGGGAGGATGCCCAGATYGCTCAGTTTGCTGTGTTCTGAGCAGAGAGGGTTTGCTCTTTCTTTGGGGCAGTGGCAGAAGCATTTCCTGCTGTGGTTCAGTGCTTTACTTCTGAATTTGGAGGAGGAATATGATTTCTGCTCAGAAAACATCCTGTTTTCTCCTTTTCATCTACCACATTGTCCTTTGGACTGTGTTGTTGTCACTGGGGGTTTCAGCTTGCAGAATAATTGCAATAATTGCAGTTTTACCAACTGGCCTTTTGCAAAGAAATGAAGAATAAAAAAAAAATATGTATTTCTCTTTTTGCTGTCTTCATTTGTTCTGTGTGGGCTCTTCTAAAACTCCCATGCATCCAAAACTARGAGAAATTGCTCCTTTATCTCATTCTTAAAAGAAAAATTTTACAGTCCTATATTTTTTTGTGTTCATGTTTTGCAATCTCGGATCAGAAAGAAAAAAAAATGTGCAAGGTTTTGAGAAGGATTTCTTTAAGTTTTCCTAATTGAAAAAAAAAAAAAAGGGAATGTGTCCATTTTGGCCTGAAGGTGATGCTGTTTCTCTAGGAAAAAGTACTGGAAAAGCYGCTGGGAAGTCTGGTAGGAAATACTTATGTTAAAATTCAATATACACCTATTCATGCTCTTTGTGTTGGCAAGTTTTCATCAGCCCTTTGGAAGATTGACTTCTGTCTGAGCAGAACTCAAATCAGTTTATTAAACCTTCCAGTATGTCAAGGATCAGCACACTCAGAAGSCAGTAAAAATTTTTTAAGTTACTATTATTTTTCATGCACATCTCTTGTGTGTGTTCCGGTGCTGGTCTCTGCCGTACTGTTCA